AAATTCAGCTCAAGTGCTTGATGACAGTTTTTCCATTAAAAAAACTCTAATTGGCCTCCATAGAAGTTCCATTTGTGAAAAGGACTTTGGTCAATACCATCTGATGGCTGTTCGGTGGTTTATGTGAAATGTGTTGGTGGTGTCAGGCCAGTCCTTAGTGGATATATGTCCACATCGCAAAAAATACTATGGCAATTTGCACTAATTGGCATCTTTGCATTCCCAGCAGAGGCCCAAGACTATGTGGTCATGGAGACTGAACTACTCATTCCTAGAGTCAGGGCTGAGAAATGTATTGAGGAGATTGCCCTTCTGCTGCCCATGATGTACCTGTCCTGTGGATAAACCAAGGATTGCAGCCTCCAGAACCACCAGTTCAATACCTTACAAAAGCCCTAGCATCTATGATTTATTTTTCTGAAGACCAGATATATAAAATGTTCAGGTTTTAATAATGATATGGCAAAGCATGTTGGTCCAAATGCTCTTCTCAGGTACAATGGGAAAACAAAGGTAGTCTAAGTATTACTGAGAAGAGACAGTTGCATATTTTAATTAGTTAGCCCAGATTTGGAAAACCTGCTTTTATGCTACTTCAACAAAAGGAGACCCGTGTTTTGTGTATAGGTTATATCTCTCTGGTCTGAGATACTTCAAGAATCTGATCCTGCATTTATCAAGAAACTAAATCTCCTGTTGTCTTGAATGTGAGCTCCATTGTGCAAGAAATAAAGAATTGTGCCCGGAGTCTTTATAAATGCATCTATTACACAAGTACAAATTAAGGGCCATTTCATGACCTTAAGCCCAGGATAATTTCACCACTAGCATAAATGGGTGCAACTCAATGGATATTGATGGAATTTCACCCTCTTACCTCTACGTGAATTTTGGCTCATGTGTGGGATTCTCATGGTTGTTTTCTGTGGGCATGGAGGGCATTTTTGTGTTCTGAATCATAACTGGAATTACAGGGGTCTCGCTTTCCCGCTCCAGTGTCAGCAGCACTTCCAATTCTAAAAACCTGTTTTCAAGGTTTATGACCCACTTGCTATAACATTCTTCTGGGCTGAAACTTGGCAAAGTCAGACTTATCCTAGAAGCATATGGTTTAGTTTGTCACCACTTTACACACACTTTCTAACCACCAAAATCCCATTTGCCCTTTATTTTTTAGGGTGGGATTTTCAACAGCACTCCACACTGGCTGCCCTCTGCTTCCACTAACGTGAATGCTAGTGTTCATTCTTCTAAATCAAGGAAGGTTTCACATTTTCAGATGAATCCTCAGTTTGCTGATAGTGAGGATTTTCGAAGCCGCTCAGCTGTGTTTTGGCACCAAAATCAATGAGCACGTCTCCAAAAAAAAAAAAAACCCACCCATATTGGACGTTGAGCTGTTTAGAAGATCTGGCCAGAGAGGTCTGTAACAAACCGACACTTTCATAGGCTCTATCTGTGCTGCAAACCGGAATGTGAGCGCAGCGCCTCTAGACCGATCCAAGCTTGCTTTAATCTAGCTAGCTCGTGTACAGCAGCCAGGGCCGGCTCCAGGGACCACGCAACCAAGCATGTGCTTGGGGCAGCGCCTGGAGGGGGGCGGCACAGCGGGGCGCTCTGGCCCGAGAGCGGCGCCGCGACCGGGCTCGCCGCCCTCCCCCCGGCGCTCTGGCTGCTGGGGGGAGAGCGGAGAGCCCCGGCCGGGCTCTCCGCCCTCCCCCTGGCGCTCTGGCCGCCGGGGGCTCTCCGCCCTCCCCCCGGCGCTCTGGCCGCCGGGGGGGGGAGAGCGGAGAGCCCCTGCTGCAATGGGGGAGAGGGGGCGGCCGCTGGCTTTTTTGCCTAGGGCGGCAAAAAAGCCAGAGCCGGCCCTGACCACAGCAGCGGGGGCTTCAGCACAGGCTGTATCCAGGACCTTGGGTAATTACTGAAGCGACTAGCCCACAGTGAAGCCCATGCTGCTATTGGTATGTGAACTAACTAGAGTAAAGGGAGCTCCTCTATGACGACATATGCTGCAATCACATCCTGTGGCGTAGATACACCCACAGCATCACACTGTGAGGTGCTGGGCGAAAATCTGGCTCTTCTTTAAGCCCCTGTAAGGGAGCGGAGCTCGTTTGAAAATGTGGGCCTAGCCATTTAGCCGTGTGTGGAGGAAAAACAGCTGAAAACAAATGATAAATGAATGCTGGGATATGATCCAGCACCTGATCCAGCTCCCATCTAAACCTGCGGGAACCTTCTTCTTAGTTTCAGTGGGCTTTGCATCAGGCCTGGAATGCACACAAATGTATCCGCTGTGCACTCATTTCGTAAATTCTGGGATGATCGCTTCTGTATTAACCCTGTGGCAGCCCGTGGGACAGGCCTCCTTGGTCATAAACACAGACGTGCTTGATCAACCGAAACGGCAGTATGGTGAGATAGGCAGAAGAAAGTTGCACTCATTTTCCTCAGTGCAAGGATTTGAACAGATGGACTTGCCACCAAATGCAAATCATGGAGTCTTTCTCCAGCCACAACTTCCATGCACGCTACCTGTCTCACCTGAGTAGGGGCTACAGGGTCAGCCCCTGCCCATGGTATTTGGCGAGGATGTTTTTCCACTGCACTTGGCATTTTTAAGCCTGGCAGTGGCTGGCTTTGCTGAAAACTGACACCACTCATCACACTACAAAACAGCGGGGTTTACAAGACAACTGCACATCCTGGGGGGTCCAGCATGTGGAGGGGGCCCATGTCAGAGCCAGAGAACGGGGGGATAGGGCAGCAGCAAACGTCCACCTCACTGCTGCCTGCAAACGGACTTGAAATGAATAGCTGCAGGAAGGAGGGGAGGATGGAGAGGAGGCATAGGGCTGGCCCCTCCTCTCCCCAGCCTCACCCCCTCTTGGTAGGAAAAGAAAGGAGGGGGGGAGAGAAGAGGGCGTCTCACAGATCTGATTGCCCCCAGCCACCTGCTGGCTACAGTGGAGTCAACAGTTAGGGTCAGCAGGAGAGGTCCTCGCATTGCTTGTGAGGGGCCTGAGTGGAGGGGATGGGCCATGGCTGCTGAGCAATCCTTGAATGTCAGAAACTCAGTCACGTAGCTGAGTGTGCTGCCAGACTGCCTAGGGCTCCTCAGCATTGCGGGAGGGTGGCCCAAGCCGCTGACATCCCAAGAGGCAGCAAGGACATCATTGTGACCAGACAAAGAGGCAGGAGCTCGTAGTGGCAAAACAGAAGAAGTCTCTGTCTGCGGATATTAAATGTCGGTGGACTGAGCCCTTAGGTAGCCTTAGGGAGGGAGGATGGTCGTGTGGCTGAGACACAAAACTAGGAGTCAGGTTCTATTCCTAGCTCTGCCGCAGAGTTCCTGGGCAAGGAATTCAATCTCCTTATACTGCTGCACAATGGAGGTAATAATCCTGATCTCCCTCACCGGGGTATTGTGATAGTTAATAGATACCAGGGAGGCAGTTAAACTGTGCAGAAAATAGTTGCGTGGGGCCCCTTGCTGGCAGCCCTTATTTCCCGGCAATGTGTCAATATTACAGTGTAGGGCCATAAAGAACTTGCTTCCTCTGCTCTTGAAATGCAACAGACATGAGCATTTTCAGACCTTCAGTTATACGCAATGACTATTATTGCACTGAGCAGAAAGAGTCTAGCATATCCTTAGTCATTCAAAAAATGGTCTATGGTATAGTTTAGTGTTGAAAAACCAACAATATACTTTATCTCTTTTCAAATCGATGACAATAATGGCAAAAGCCGTGTTTGTCAAGGGCACTTTGCCATTTGTACACTTAGGCCTGGTCTACACTGGGAGGGGGAGGGGAGGGGACTATCGATCTAAGTTACGCAACTTCAGCTACATGAATAACATAGCTGAAATCTACATACTTAGATCAACTCACCGCGGTGTCTTCACTGCGGTAAGTCGACGGCTGATGCTCCCCCGTCGACTCTGCCTGCAACTCTCCCCCTGGTGGAGTACTGGAGTCGACAGGAGAGCCCTCGGCAGTTGATTTATCATGTTTAGATCCAGCCGGTAATGTAGACAAGCCCTTAGGTGGGATTTTTAAAAGGTCACAGCATTGGCCTAACTGTTCCCTTGGAAGTCAATGGTAAAACTCCCATTGACTTCAGTTGGGAGCAAAGTTAGGCCAGCACTGAGTTGTTTTGAAAATCCCTCTCCAAACTGGACCCAAAGCCCACTGAGATTAACAGGAGACTTTCCATTGGCTCCAATAAGATTTGGATCAGCCCCTACATCTGTTAAACCTTTGTCCCAAATAATGAGGCATACAGACAGTCCTTGACTTTACGACGTTCGAGTTACGACGAATGGCACTTACAACGTTTATAAATTGTGATCGTGTTTCGACTTTACAACGTCAGTTTCGATTTTATGACGCTCGAGCCAACATTATTCCTTTGGGAAATTCGAGTTACGACGTTTTTGACTTAAAATGCGATTTTCAGGAACTAACTGCGTCGTAAGTTCGAGGACCGCTTGTTTTCATCCTAAGTATTAGCCGGCTTTATGAAAAGTTTCCTAATACGTAGTGAGGGAGAGTAATATGTCTTGATGGCCTCATACAGTTGGTTCCAGTCCTCATACTTTACCAGTTTCTCCTGGGGAATTAATGCAAGTTTGCAACATGTACATGGCCTCCTGTGGAGCCTGAAGATTAAACCTTCTGTTAAGAAAATGACTGTTGTCTAAAATGTTAATTTCCAAATGCATCCCTGGGATTTTCCATTTTTTTGTAGTAGCTCTGTACCCCAATGAGTACTAAATGGCTTATGGCGCCATGGAGAATTCTCAGTTTCCATTACGGTATTCATTCATATGAAGGCTTCCAATTATTCAACTAGCCCCTTATGACCTTACCATACTTTTCACTGTTTTTCCTTTGTCTTCCTAAATCCCAAATCTAGGGCTAATTGTTCCCTCACTGATCTCTCTCTTTCTCTCTCTCTCTTCTCACCTTGCTTCCATTACTGGAATGTAGAGTAAAGATGCTGGTATCAGGACTTTGGTTATGTTGGATGAGCAAGGAGGTAAGTTCAAATTGCTTCAGTCAAAAAATAAAAGCACTCTCAAAGAAGTATATTAATTATGTGCAATTATAAATAATCACTAGTGCTCTTAAAACACACTTGTGTGTATTTGTGTATGAGATTAGATCTGTCATAGTCTCACTGTCTCTAACCTCTTTGTGTAATAAAGTGACCTCCGATAAGCATATGGGGGGCTATTTTGCCTTTGATCTGTGTGTATATGGCACCCATTCATGTAAAGGGACCTGTTCCAACACCCATTGAAGTCAATGAAAATCTTTCAATGGGCTTTGGATCATGCCGTAGCAACGCACAAATGTGAGAGAATGTGTTCCTGACTACTTTGTTTCAAACACAATATCATTTATGCAGGCGCTGTATGATTTTTCCCTTTTTAGCTGTGATTCAAGAGCAGGCAGCAATCCCAAATCACAGAGAAAAATAAAACAGGAGCATCAGATGAAGTCAATGAGCGTTCTGCATGAAAAGTGATGGCAAAATATAGCTCATTATGATGTACAGTATAGAAGCTTATAGGCTTAGAAGGGAGCTCAGTGTATGGATCTGATATGGGCAAAACCAGAGTTGGATGTGTTTAATATAAGCATGGGAAAATGACACTCTTTGCCCATTGTAATCTTGATGACCGGTAAATGGAATGTTTTCAATAAAATTAAGAAGCATCCATTTTGCTGCAGTCCCACAGCAGCAACAAAATGGTATCTCCAAAAAAAAATTCCCTGATGTACTGTTAATTCCTGCTGCCCTGTCTTATACCAGCCTCCAACGTGAGGCTTCGGTACATCTTCAAATAGAACAGAACATGAAACATTAGTGGAGAATGTTTTCTAGACACTTAACAACACTATACTACAGAAACAAGCATCCGGAACAAGCTTGTATTACTAAGGAATGGAGTAGATAACATAACAGCCCTTTTCTTCTGTATTTGTTTTTTGTTTTTTTGCTTTTATGATGAATGCAACATTACAGTGGAATCTAAATAGAAAGTATTTTTCCCTCCTTGCTTTTTTTTAAAGAGCAAAACCTCATATATTTGATCAGTGAGTCACCATGAAATTACTGTCTTATTAAGTCTAAAAAGGGAATTTTCAGATCTGGGTTCCAGTGTATACAGAGCCACTTCTGTGTAACATTTGCAACTCCTGGTAATAAGGCAGTTACTGTATTTCACTGTGGAATTCTGATGCCTGGGTAAGCTGCTCTGTATCACAAATGAATGAAAGGAGGGGCTGCGTGACAGAGCTGTTGCCAGTATTTCTCTTTAAAGGGAAAAGTCGGAATGTGCTTATAATATTATGCCAAAGATCACAAGGAAGGTTTGGGACCAGATCCTAATGGAGCTGGGCCAATTTACACCAGCCTTGTAGTTGTTGTCTTGTGTCTCTTTTTGCTAAAAGTCTTACAAAGGCTTTAAACCCATAATATAAACATCGTTTACGATCCTCAGTTAATAACAGACTATTTCTGATCATGCCTCCCTTGTGCATCCAAAACTCTCAATTGAAGTCAAAGGGGCTACAGGTGTGACTGTAACAGGCAGGAGTTGGCACTGCAGGTACAAGTCTAGAACCCGATACCACATTCCTTGGGTGCTGAAAACTCCCACTGACACTATTTGATAAGTAAAACAAGCAGGATTTGGCCCGTAACCATTATGTATACCTGCTTGAGTTTAGGCCTCTCATGTTGGCCCTGCAATAGTTAAGTAGAGCAGTGTGAACTATCTGAAACCAAAGTGAAAGCTCCTGAAACACACCCAGTTTTGTGTTTCATTCCAAACTCCAAACTAACTGTACTAGAAAGCGTGCTAAGGTTCATGGCCTTTTAGAATGAACCCGAGCCTTGTTTTCTAGCTTTTTGCATCGAAACCAGACAAAACTCATTGGAGTTTCATCTGCTTTGGCGTTTCACTAAGTTCTACTTTAGACACCAGTAAAATCCAGAATAATAAATTACAGAATCATATCCTAGGAAAAGCACATTTCAAAGTAAGGGATACGTTCTCCTCTCCTGTCAACATTCGTAATGGGAGTCTCAGGAATGGATCAAAGAGAGAATACTTCCTAAGCTTGTTTTCTTTTAGTACAGAATTCACCCCTCTGTACCGGGCAGCACAAAGTCTATGCACCATTTAAGTCCAACTTCAGCCCAATTTTGAGGGCTTGAGTGGAACTTAAGTGGTTCATAAGCCATATGTAGACTTTCTGCACAGGAGTGAGTTTCACCCTTAAAGCATTAGATAAATCGTTTTTTCACATACGATTGTTATTGGAATCAAGTTTGCGCAGCTCAAATTTTTCATGAATAATACCAGCCAAGAGACTCTGAGGTCTCAGAAATCAAAGATTAGCTGTGTCAAAACAGATACAGTGTCTGCATAAAAACGAACTGCACTTTTCAAATAAATCAATAAGCACAAATATTGTGAGTGAAAGCCTGTAAATATCCAAATGAGTCTATCCGTGCAATTCTCATTCCAGTCAATCGAGACCTTACTGCAGTGCTAAAACATACACATACGAGTTAGGAAATTTACAGATGCTGTTTCTCTCTCCATGAATGGATCTTAAATGTTCAAGTGCAGTTAATTAAAGTTGTGCCACGCACAAGAAACCCAGACTAGAATCAGACTGGGAATTTCAAAATAGTTTAAGGGAATTAGGAGCCTACCTCGCATTACATTTTAATAGGATTTTGGTGCTTAGCAACCTTCAGCTCTCCTGGAAAAGCCCAACATATATCCATAAGGCCTGATCCAAAAAGGTCAATGGGATTTTTCCACTGACTCCGCTAACTATTAAAGTAGCACGTTATCATCTAACTGCTATTTTCCATTCACCATATTTTTGTCTCTTGAATATTCTTTGTTTTCAGACCTCTGCCATTTAGGTCTGATCCTGAAAAGCCTTATACATACAAGCAGTCCTGAGTCATGTGTGTAGTCCCATTGACTGCTCACTTGAGCAAGGATTACATGCATAAGGGTTGCAGGATTGGGCCATTTGACCACTTTATAATCCAGGAATCTCAGTACTAAATTCCCATTGAACGTACATGGACATTGTATGATCAGGTACGCAGCCAGTCAATACAACTGGAAAGACAGACAACATAAAAGCTTCCTTAAAATGGTTATGGTCATGTTTTAAGTGCTTCAGTAAATTACTCTGGTAATTATAGATTACAGCTTTCTCAAGTAAAAGAGACTGATCATGTTGCAAACCAAATATTGTAATCATGGCACTATGTTAAATGCATTTTAATTATGTTTGAGTCATTTTTAGCAGCGTGTCGTTCTAATAATAATTGCTGCAACTTGTTTTTTAAATTTTGATATACTTATTATGTGTAATTGGGCAAAATATACCTCTGATGGCTTTTAAAACCCTACAGTTACTGCAGTGTGTATAACTCACGGATGGCTCAGCAGATTATCAGATGAATGAAAGCAGTTGTTAACACAGCTGCATGATCTTTTTTCAGCTGACCCGACAGCACAAGTTACTTAAGATTATTAGATGCCATCTAGACAAAGAACATTACATTGATCTTTCCAGTGGGTGGCTAACAGAATAGCTAATCTTTCCAACCACTCAACCCCCTTTGGATTTGTCTGTTTGTAGGTTTTCTAGACAACGTATTTGCTTTGATGTTGTAGACATCTTACTAGAGACATTCTTCTGAGCCAACTTCAGTTTCAATTGCACAGAGCAGAACTCACTTTCTGGCATCAGTAAGCAAATGTCTTTGAGATCATCACTGCAGAGGAATGAGGCCAATGCATCTTTTTAATAGTAGGTATTTAGATGGTTTGCTGGGTAAAAAGCAGTTTGGCTCGCTCCTCTTGGCTGGAAGAGTTCAGTCTAGTCTGCAAGCCAGTAGACTGCATAGTACATTGTATCCCTGTAGCCAGCTGCTGCAAGGCGGGCCATCGCCCTGCCCTTTGTTATAATAGGTCCCCAGGGAATGTGACTGCTGTGAGAACTAGGGGCCTGGTCCAGGGCCCACTGAAGTCAGCGAAATCTTTCCAATGATTTGAATGGCCTTTAGATCAGGCCCTAATAGATTCAGAAAGATACTTGGTGCCCAAAACTCCCAAGGGGCCAGATATTCCCTCCAAAGCCACTGGGATTAGCCTCAGTAAGGAATAAGTAGAAACTGCCCCTCCCCAGGGGAAATCCACTGAAAGATATGTAAAGGGAGAGGAGGTTCTCCTTCTGGAGATTTTGTTCCAGTCATTCCTCCCCTCTATGGAATATGCTGCAAGCCCCATCCACAGGCTCCGAGGATCCTTAACGGTCCCTCACCCATCCACTCAGCTGCCCCATTGTTTAACTGCAGCTCTGGGTCTCCATCAGCCCACCAGTGACTCCAATGGAACTGCTTGATAGAGCTCCCACCACCAGCAATTGTTTCTTCCACCCCTTAAAGGGGCATGCCCAGTGTGAGAGGAGAGGGCTAGGATATAACATGGCCAGAGATTACATCATCTTCTTCCCTGAGCTCTGAAGGGTTCCTGGGGAATGATGCACATTCTGCTCCTTCCCCCACTCCCCCACCCTGCCCACTCTCCCCTTCGCAGGCCCTAGTGCATTCTGCAGGGCATGGGGGGAACAGCGGACACTGCAGTAAAGGTGAATGGACCTCCCTTTGCATATGTTGAGATCTCTGCATGTAGGGTTCCCTCTGTGCATAGACCTAGGTGGTATGAGGACCTCAGAGTTTGACCCATTGACTTCAGTGAAGAATGCAGCCTCTCCATGCTTCCAGGGGTCAAGCCAGAGGATACTACATTGTTTTGCTCGTGTTGTAGATCTTATCAAGGAAAAAGCAGAGGAAATGCACTCTTGCGTTCTCCGTTTAGGGTGTTAAATACATGCTTAAGGTGCTTCTTGAGATTTTGCTTTGCAAACCAAACTCCATCAGAAAGTACCAAATTACATCTGCAATCAATGGGAGTTAGGCCCTGAATACCA